TCCAATTAAGCCCTCAAACACATTTTAAAAAGCCAAATCCTCCTTTTACCGACAGTGATCAGGTCACCGGTAATTTTTGTACACCTGGCGACAAATGTGACTTTTTCTATTTTCTTTTTCTTTTCTTTCCTCCACCTGGTATCTCTCTCATGTTTCTCCTTCGACCTGCACTAGCACCAAACTTCAGACAGGTCAAATTCTTCCATTTTCTTTCTTCCACCCACTCTTTCTTTTCCCCCTTTCTTCTTTCTTTCTCCTACCCTTTGTTTGTCGCCCGTCATGAATCCGACTTTGCCCCCTTTCGGAGTGGTGATGCAGACGTATCAGGTGGCCTGGTAGATGGTGGCGGTGACTGGTGAGGGTTTTCTCTTCGCTAATTTGGTGGATCTTCTTAGATCCAAAGTGGTGGGCAAAGAATTCGAGGGAGAAGATGCTCTTGATGGTGTAGAGCCGTCGATCGAGGGAGAAGTGCTTTGTCGAGGATGGATTCATCACTTTCGCAATGGAGATAGAAAGGGAGGCGGATGAAATTTAGTCAAAGTAATAGGGACTTATGGAGAAGACTTTGCTAAGGAGGTTTTTTATTATTAGAAAAATGAAAAAAATGACATGGATATTCACATCAGCAACATAACCGGCGAAACCTAGGAGTAACGTTTAAAAGTGCCATTTTGAACGTTTTTTTTATGTTCGGGTACTTAATTGATTGATCATTTTGTATGGGGGTTTAATTGATTTTTTATAAAGTAGGGGGGCTATTTTGATAGTTTTCCCTAATTAAAATCATTCATCTTAGTGTTAATTAAATTAAATCAAATGAAAAAACCCCTGTTACTAGTTTATAAAAAGAGAAGTATTCCTTTCCCTGCGGATACGAACCTTACTTCGTTATACTACGTATAATTGTTGTATTGTATTATTATTTTGAGTGCACACCACGACAAAGTGCACGTCAAATTTGGCGCCGTTGCCGGGGAAAGTCAATAATTTTTCTTTTTTATTTTAAATTAAGCTGAGGGCCTTCCCATTCTCTTTGAAGGACACCGCAAAAGATTGGCTTTTCTATCTTCCTTCGGGAAGCATCAACACATGGGCACAAATGAAGAAGTGTTTCCTCGATAGGTATTATCCTGCTTCCATCTTATCTTCTCTCAAAAAGAAAATAAGCAGCATCGAGCAAAAGGATGATGAGTCCTTGTATGAATTTTGGGAACGATTTAAAAAGCTATGTGTTAGCTTTTATGATGAATACACTGAACAAGATCTCATCCTATACTTTTATGATGATCTTGTTGATGATGATAGAAGAATGGTGAATGCCGCTTGTGGAGGTGGCATTATCAATAAAACTCCTTCACAAGCTATAAGTCTTATCTCAGAGTTGGCCGAGAACTCACGACAATTCGGCCGCAAAGCCTCAACTCGAAGAGTTCTTGCGGCGGAACCCAGCACGACCGCTCTAGAAAGTCAAGTTGCCGGCTTGACTTCTTTGATAAAAGAACTCCTTGTAAACCCAAAAATTCAGGAGGTCAAAGCTTGCGGCATATGCACATCAACTGGACACCCCACTGATTCGTGTCCATCACTCCAATTACAGCTATCGATAATTTATGGGCGTTGAGTTGACCGGTTGGTCAAACGAGACTCAATTACAGCTATCGATAATTTATCAGATAACGACCCAAAATAAATTCCGGTGACTTCTAAATTAAAGTTGAGGAATGTATATTCATTTTAAATGCCAATATTGATTGGGAATATGAGATACATTTTATTTAGCTCGATAAAATAAAGGGAAAATGTACATATATACTCCTGTAGTATAGGTTGAGGAACAAATATACATATCTTCTATTTTTCGGAACAAATATACCCCTGAACTTTTAAAAAGGTGCAAAAATATCCCTCATATTTTTATAAAGGAGCAAATTAATACTTATTGACTTTACATTAATAAAATAAATTTCAAAAAAGACCAAAAATAAATTAAAATTTTGAAATTAAAGAATAAAACATTTTAAAAATGTAATTGTGTCCAATTCTCCCTTTATTATTTTTATATCACAATTTATTATTTTTAGTATAAAATATTATTTCAAAATATGTAATTTTATAGTGCAAAGAATGCAAAAAATAATAATTTTTCTTTACATTGCGAAACATATGTTAGCACCTTTTCGAAAGAATCTTAAACATATAGTAAAATTTTGAAATAATATTTCATACTTAAACAATATTAAATTGTGATATAAAAACTATAAAAGGGAGAATTGGACACCATTACATATTTAAAATTTTTTAATTTTTAATTTTGAATTTATAATTTAAATTTTGTGTTTTTTTATTAATTTAAGGTCAATAAGGATTAAGTTGCCCCTTTATAAGAACATGAGGGATATTTTTGCACCTCTTTAAAAGTTCAAGGGTATATTTGTTCCGAAAAAAAGAACAAGGGTATATCTGTTCCAACACCCATACTACAAGGGTAAATTTCTTCCTTTTCCCTAAAATAAAATATAATTAAAACAATTCGAGAAATACAACTTTAAGGACCGAATGTACATTTCGGGGCACATAGGGATGACCTCCCACATGAGAGGAGGTCACCCCGCGTTTTTTTTTGCTCAAATTGACTTGGAAGGACTAGCATGACATGGGAAATGGATGGAGTGAGGATATGAACATCAAAAGGACAATGAGGGGGCCCTCTCCCTCACTCATTTGCCAAGAGAGACAAAAAGAGACATCCTTTCTCCCTCCAACTATTGAGCTCGTCCAAGGCATCAAGGAAGAGAGAAGGAAGCTCGATCTACAAACACCTATCACCATAGCCAAATTCGAACGCAAGCTCAAGAAGGTCAAAGAAGGAAGTTCAAGGAAGAAAAAGAGAGGAAAATGTGGTAGATTAAGGTAATGACCTTATAACAACTTTTTCTCTATTCGTTAACTACCATATGACTTATATAGCATATGAGGAACCCCTAGGATATATCTACATGTTTAGAAGTGTAGAATGAGGGGTTGGAAGGTAGTTCTAAGTTCAAGAACAGACTTAGAAGCCAAAGCGACCGATTCACCGGAATATAATCTTTCGGAGGTTATTTGTACGTGTTGATATGGGTTTTGTGGTGTTAAAACCTTGTTAGGAACTTGTCTAAGAAGTTCCTGTTAGAACTTAAGGATAGAAGTAGTAAAATACAAGAGTGTAATATGGCTGGACCGGATATCACTTCTAGTCACGTATAAAATACGCTTTCCTAAAAGTTTACTATCTACCCTTATCATAGTAACCGGGTTACAAGACATAACTTTTGGGATAAAAAAAAAGGTGTACAGTGTATTTTGGCCACTGACAAAATAACACTTAACAAGTGATATGTATATAAAGTGATCTAAAACTTTATTACTAATACTGCAGTTATCAGTAATAAAGTAAGGCAACTTAGAGAATTGACAAAGTTAATTTTGCCGTATATATCCAATTCAACATGGCCCTCTCTATTTATAAAAAAAATAGTGACCTATTGAAAAGATGCTGCACATTAACGAAGTGTTCAATGGTTGAAGGCGGTTAAGCCTACCAAAATGAAACGGTGCTTCATTTTCCAAAAGATCATGTACATTCCTTTAATATAATACAATATTTGTCATTATCCACAAAAGTGCCGCAATTAGCATCCCTTATATGCAAATTTTAATACTTCGTATTTGAAATCGGCACAAAAGATCAAATATACTAAAGTAATATTATTATAGTTATTATGAGACCAAAACGTGCACATAAATGTTCTCATAATACATATAATAATAATCATTATATTAAAATATCTCTTTAACATCATTTTAGTAAATTATGATATTTGTATATAAAATGATTAAGGACCATGTAAATTTACTATTGAGCTTTATTTTTCAATAAATCTCCAACAATCCTCCTCCATTTATTTGAAAAATAAACATACTCAATCCTTGCCAAAATAGACCACTTATCAAGACTTATGCATAATTGAAAGTGTCGTAACGATTGAACTTTCATTTAGTGCAATATTCTTTACAATTTTTTGGATCATAATAGTAGACTAAGCTTTGAACTATACAACCACTTTGAAATATTGAAGATATTACACACACAAGTGTTTATACATTTTCTCTTAGAAACTTGACACCATTAGCGGCCTTGTGTCCATATCCATTCATGAGCTCCAACAAGTAAAGCCTTAAACTTGGTGAATCGGCCGCCATTCTAGCTCAGAGAGGTAGACCTTTTCAAATTGTGTTTTCCAATCAAACACTTCATCAAAAGATTTATTAAGACATAGTCAACCTCATTACACATTGCAGTCTCAAGCACTTAATTACCTCGGGATGATTAATATTCAAAAGTGCTTCAATCACGGAGTGACTTACTCATCATCATTGAACTCAAGATCTAGCGTTGTACTAGACATTGAGTTGCGCTTTCTTTCACTTGTGATTATTTTCCAAGGGCTTTAAGGTCATCCCTTTTGCAGTTTTGTACACCATGTCCCTTGGCATCGCTTTTGTGAAAGGATCCGCCAAATTTACATGTGATCATACAAAATCAATCACAACAATCTAGAAGTTTACTATTCCGAAAATATGGCCACTACTCAACGCGATATCATCAACCCCAATTTTCAAAAATTGGAAAAGTTTGAAGGTGTGGAGTTCCGAAAGTGGCAGAAAAAGATGCATTTTCTGCTCACTACTTTGAGGTGGTCTATGTGTTAAACACCCCGAGGCCGCCCGATGATGATGATAACGAGACTTTGGAAACAAGCCACCGCCGCATAAAGTGGGACAATGATGACTATATCTGTCGTGGACATATTTTGAATGGTATGTGTGATTCTCTTTTTGATGTGTATCAAAATATTGAATTGAATATGCTAAAACGTTGTGGGAATCCCTAGAATCTAAGTACATGACAGAGGATGCTTCAAGTAAGAGATTTTTCATTAGTTACTTTAATAGTTACAAAATGGTGGATTCTCGTCCGGTCATGGAACAATTTCATGAAATTCAACGTTAACATGATCAACTTTTGATACACAACATGCATGTAAATGAAACATTTGCGGTCGGTTCTATAATCGACAAATTACCACCGTCATGGAAGGAAGTGAAAAATAACCTCAAACGTAAAAAGGAGGATTTGCCAATGGAGCAACTGGGTCACCAACTTCAAATTGAAGAAGGCATTAAGTTGTGTGAAGGTGACAATGGTAAAAAGAACGACCTTCCAATTTCCTCTATAAATGTTTTGGAGGAGAGACAGTCAAGTGGGACTAAGAAAAATAAAAAAACGTCCCGGGAAATTCACCAAAAGTTCCAAGTTTCAAAAGAAGCTGGAAGATAAGAAAGTAGGCTCTTGTTGGAAATGTGGTGGTCCACACTTCAAGAGGGACTGCCCGAAGGTGAAGAAGAACACCCAACCCAACGGCCATCCGAATGGTGGCCAAGACAACCAAGGTCATAATCTTTTTGTAGTTACAAATGATGTTGATAACAACATGATTTTTATAGCTATGCTTTCTGAAATTTGTGTTGTGCAGGATGATGAGTCTTGGTGGATCGACACCAGAGCAACAAGGCATGTATGCAAAGATAGGCACACTTTTAAGACTCTAAAAGAGTTGCAAGAGGGGCTGATCTTATACATGGGAAACGACTCGACTGTGCAAATTCAAGGAATTGGACAAGTAGAGTTGCAAATTCAAGGAATTGGACAAGGAATTGGAATTAACTTCCGGAAAGAAATTAATTCTTAATGATGTGTACTTTGTACCACAAATCCGGAAAAATCTTGTCTCCGATGGCATCCTAAATAACTTTGGGTTTAAGCTTAGCTTTGAAGCAAATAAGTTTATTTTATCTAAGGGTGGTGTATTTGTTGGCCAAGGTTTCTATTGTAATGGCATGTTCAAACTAAGTGTTGTAAATAAAGTTGTTAATTCTGTTTATATGGTTTGCGATTCTTCTTTGTGGCACAATAGGTTATGTCATGTTAATTATCGTAGACTAAGTGACATGTCTAAAGTAGGTTTAATTCCTCCATTTGATATTAACATAAAAAAATGTAGAACTTGCATGTTAAACAAAATCACTAGAAATTCTTTTCAAAATGTTGAAAGAAAATCTAACATGCTTGAATTAATGCATAGTGATTTGTGTGATTCCCTTAGCACTCCTTTTGGAAATAAAATATATGTAGTCACATTTATTGATAATTGCACAAGATATTGTTATATATATCTTTTATTTTCAAAAGATGAGGCCATGGATAAATTTAAAATTTATAAAACGGAAGTTGAGTTATAAACCGAAAAGAAAGTAAAAAGGCTTAGAATGGACAAAGGAGGAGAATATTATGAGCCTAATTTTTTGGAATCCATTGGAATAATCTATGAAACAACAACCCCTTACACGCCGCAACAAAACGGCATTGCTGAAAGAAAGAATAAACTTTTAGATTGTTAGAACTTAAGGATAAAACTAGTAAAATATAAGGGTGTAAATATGGCTGAACCGGATATCACTTCTAGTCACGTACTCCCTCCGTCCCTAATAAGTTTGCCAAGTTTGACCGGCACGAGGATTAATAAGGTAAAAATTGTGTGGTTGAGGTTTGTGCAGAGGAGAGAGAATTAACTGGAACCACAAATTTTTTACTTAAATGAGAAAGTGGCAAAGTTAATGGGACATTCAAAAAAGGAAAGTTGGCAAAGTTATAAGGGACGTAGGAAGTATAAAATACGCTTTCCTAAAAGTTTACTATCTACCCTTATCAAAGTAACCGAGTTAGGGACAGTGGGAATCTCGTTAATCCATTCATGCGCGTCACTAATTAGATGACGAGGCATTTGGCTACCTTAAGAGAGTCATAGTTACTCCCGCCGTTTGCCACCCGCAGCGGTATTCGACACCGGAAACCATGGAAAATCGGCCCCAGCAGCACCGAGGCAATCGACACTGAGAAGGCAAGGCGGCAAGGCGGCAAGATAGAATTTTTGGGATAAAAAGAAGGTGTACAGTGTATTTTGGCTACTGACAAAATAACACTAAACAAGTGATATGTATATAAAGTGATCTAAAACTTTATTACTAATACTGCAGTTATCAGTAACAAAGTAAGTCAACGTAGAGAATTGACAAAGTTAATTTTGCCGTATATATCCAATTCAACATGGCCCTCTCTATCTATAAAAAAATGGTGACCTATTGAAAAGATGCTGCACATTAACGAAGTATTCAATGGTTGAAGGCGGTTAAGCCTACCAAAATGAAACGGTGCTGCATTTTCCAAAAGATCATGTACATTCCTTTAAAATATTTTTTTAATATAATACAACATTTGTCATTATTATCCACAAAAGTGCCGCAATTAGCATCCCTTATATGTAAATTTTAATACTCCGTATTTGAAATCGGCACAAAAGATCAAATATACTAAAGTAATATTATTATAGTTAGATTGAGACCAAAACGTGCACACAAATGTTCTCATAATACATATAATAATAATCATTATATTAAAATATTTCTTTAACATCATTTTAGTAAATTACGATATTTGTATATAAAATGATTAAGGACCATGTAAATTTACAATTGAGCTTTATTTTTCAATAAATCTCCAACAGTTCCTAGTGCTTTCATGAAGTTGAAAGAGTCACCGGAGGTATCGCCGAAGTTCTTCAAATCTCGTCGGAGTTTCGCCGGAGTTCAACCGATAAGGGTAGAACTTCTTAAAGATCATTCAAGGTGAGTGAATGACTTAATGTCTTATACCTCTTGGGTTAAGTATACGATTACCTAAAAAAATGTTATATGTATTCATAATGATGTTTAAATGAGTTTAAACATGTGATTAGTCAAGGTGATTAGGCTTATGTGATTTAAAATGGTATATTATGAATGTAATTGAATAAAAACACATATAAAAACATATGTGATGTTTTGAAAGGCCAAAATGACACTTACTGATTGTTTAAGGCTTAATGCATATTGTGTATAAGTTTCAGAGCAAACGGAGTACGTTTCAGGGGTCAACAGGCCGTTGACCTGGGACAATTGGTGGACCGGTGCCGGCTCAGGCCGGTTTGTGAGTGAACTGGCGCCGGTTAAGCTACGGGTTCCAATACCCGTTTTTTTTGCCGAAAACGTGTATTTGATCCCGGTTCGAGGTGTGATTAACCCTGACTATCCTATATATGTATATTTTGCATGAAATTGCACGGAATATGATATTTAAATGCTAAGGCTTGATATATATATATATATATATATATATATATATATATATATATATATATATATGATTAAATACTAAGGCTTGAATTAGTCGTTAGTAATGTATGATATAGACCATAACCGGGTAAGGTATATGGTGGATCAAAGGTTCGGTTCGGTTCGGGTGGAGTACCCAGGGACCGGGCGGTGTCCTTAAAACTCAGTTATTAAGGGTGGAGTACCCAAGGACTGGGCGGTGTCCTCAAAACTCGGATGTCATAGGTGAAGTACCAGGGTCGGGCGGTGTCCTAAAACTTGGTATTACCAGGAGAGTGGCCCAGTGACTGAGTAAGGCTATCAACACTCGATGATATAATGAACCCTAAGTTATAGCGGAGGAAGCTAAACTATGGGTTGGGATGGAGAAAGTTGTTAGAGATATTTTTGTGGTGTTAAATCATGTTTTATTATTGTGTATTTGTGTTGTATTTAGTCTAATTAATAGACAATGGGCCACCTTATGCCTAATGCTCATATGTCTCTTAGAAGCCTATTTTGTAATAGGCATATTCCTCATATTTATAAAGTCTGGAGGAATAGGCATGAAACCCTAAGTTGAATAGAGGCATCCCTGGGAGTGAACAACAATTCTACACTGCTCTCTCTCTCTAGAGGGAGAGCATCGGCCGTTTATTTCTTGTTCTAAAATTCTACATCATTCTTAATTAATCGGAGATATTGTTCTTATATATTCTTCTCTATTATGTTATTAGATTGTTGAAACAGGTTTTACAAAAGTCAAGGACTAAGTCCACCATTATTTTGTTGATTTGATCACAAAATGGTGGACTAAGTCCACCATTATTTCTTGTTCTAAAATTCTCCATCATTCTTAATTAATCGGAGCTATTGTTCTTATCTATTCTTCTCTATTATGTTACTCCCTCCGTCCCGCTAAGATTGTCCCATTTTACCTTTTCGGGAAGTCCCACTAAGATTGTCCCATACCAAATTTGGTAAAGATTGTGTGGCTCTAAATCATTCTTACTTTATTCTTACTTTATCAATTTAATATCAACCACACAAACCCACCTTTCTTAATAATCGTGCCACCTTCTTCCGTCCCATTCTTAGTGGGACGGAGGTAGTATTAGATTGTTGAAACAGGTTTTACAGGTCGTATTTTGTATTTCAAAGACTTGAGGAAAGTTATAATCGTATATATCACCCTATGTTTGGGTCTTATACTTGAAACATTAACTATTCTACATTTAGCCTATTTCTCGCTCAGTATTCGCGTACTGACCCCTCCCCCCACCATTTCAGGCTGAAGCTAGAGTTTGCTACTTGCACCTTTGCACGAGGTGAAGTGATCTCAAGGAAGATGTGGTATGTGCTTCCTTTATTGTCTTAAACTATAAGCTATGTTCATGGATATTTTGTTGAGCCCACGTTCATGGACGCGTTTCCTCACACATTTCCTCTTTCTTACACTCACTAAGTTTGTGTAGCTCCAAATATGTAATATTTGTGTAGCAATCATTCTTATATTGTATTTGTCTTTTCCAATTTAACATTAATCACATAAATCTTTTTTTAATAATTGCACACGACTCCATCTCAATCGGATAAATGTGGTATTACTTATCTATTTATTATTGCTAAATCAATATTTAAATGTAGATTCAGTATTTTATCTCATATTTATTTATACCTCCCTCGCAGTTTATGTTTCACACTGTCAAACTGGCTAGCACTCCCCAATCATACCAAACCCATGGCGAATTATGTTTTTCACGACTTATATCTGTATAACTGCCTAATGGTCATATATTCTAATATACGGGTTTCATAGGTTGCCTGCTGCCATGTCGATCAATGTTAAAAATATATATGACAAAATATCTTGGAAATAATTACCCTAGAGTATATATATGGACTGGTTCCAGTGGGAACACTTCTATTCGTGAGAAATGATAATGATCTGAAATGATGCACATTATATTTAATGGAGGCACACACTTACAGTTTAAATAACTAGCAATTTCAATGGGCGGAAAAATTTGAATTTATTTACAAAAATGTCATCACATTTTCTAGTTTATGTAGTGCACTTTTCAATTTCACATAATACATAATTCTCAAATTGAACGCTACATGTTCATTCTGAATATACCAAGTACATAATATTTAATAAGTTTAATGAAAAATGTTATTAAATCATTCTTACACTAAAATTTGATAACTATTAAATGGTGTATAGAAAAAGCACTCATTATATAAAAATAAATATTCAATTAGATCATTTGAGTAAATATTTGTAAATAATGACTGCTAATTGTTTAAAAAAATGTTTTCAACTATAACATACAAATATGTTGGAGTAATTTATTTGAATAACTATTATAGACATAATAGTTCATCAAATTGATTGTAAAATAATAAGTATATAATTGTAAATGATTTTGGCACTAGATGATCAACAATGAAATTAATGAAAGTGAAAATCAAATGTTTGTATATTGACCAACTTGTAACCTGCGTGGATCAACCCACTTAACATATAACCCGTGCACATTGACACAAAACTGGTGAGTTCATCGAGTTTTTTTTGAAAGAGAGTGAGTTCATCGAGTTAAAAAACAACAATTGAAATAGGTTTGCCCTACAGACTTTGACTCATTTTGATAGCTTTGACTCATTTTGATAGCTCTATCCAATTATCCATAGTCAATTCAATTCTATTTTAAATTCCAATTGCCTAATTCACGTACAATTCACAACCTCTATAATTTTAAGAAAAAATTTAACACGTATTTTACCGCAGAGTGCACGAGTACACATACAACTTATCATATAAAGTGGAACCTACAACCTCAATCTAAAACTTTAAATTCTCGGATGCACCCTTTATTAATGCTTAGGAAACTAAGAAAATGAAATCTATCGGTGCCACAAAACCTTAACTAGGTGCTTGAATCTTTTATTTTTACAGCTAAAAGCAAGAAAAACGTGCATCGTGTATAATGGACCGTTGACTTCGTTGGTGTATTGAGTTGACTTAGACACTTATAGTAATTCCAAACAGATGAGAACAAGTTATAGATTTGGAATTTCCACTTCAGGTTAAATCCACCAACACCGGCAGTGAAAAGTGAGATCTATATTGTAGGGGAAGGTTTTACACGTATTGTATGCATCTTTTCCAATACATGAAGGGTAACCTCAATATAAAACCAGCAAAAAACCAAAATGAAAAAAGGGAAAACTGTCAAATAGGTCCTCGAACTTTCATAAAAAAGTCAATTAAGTCCTTCTATATGAGATTCTGTCCGGCCGTCGCGATTTGAGGAGGTTCCCGATGGAATTTTTTGAAGCATCTTATTCATCAGGTCTAGTTTACTCATTCCAAATTTCAACTAAAAATTCAATTGGGAACATATTCAAATTAATTCGAGAACGTCAAAATGCGCAGTTATCTTCACGAATTAATTTGAATGTGTTCCCGATTGAACTTTTAGCTGACATTTGATATGAGTAAACTAGACCTGATGAATAAGATGCTCAAAAAAATTCATCAAAAAATTCAACCAGGAATCGCCCTAAATCGTGACGGCCGGACAGAACCTCCTATAGAAGGACTTAATTGACCTTTTTATGAAAGTTCGAGGACCTATTTGGTTTTCCCATGAAAAAAAGATACTCTACATACATCCAAACCGCCCTCAATATAATCAACAGATGGAAGATTTTGCCTTGAAAAATTAGTTTTGAATGATCGAAACCTTCGATCTAAATTTGAAAATAAAAATATTAACCTTTTTAATTTTTTAATTAGTTCTAATAAATTTATCTATCATACTTGGGAATTTGAATAGTAGCAGATGCCAGATTTTTTGTTTGGTGGCAAGTGTGAAAATAACACATACTAATACGGAGTAGTTTAAAAAATCATCGAGTATATACCGAGTATATACGGAGTACATACAAGTCCGTATATACGGAGTATTAAAAATTCATCGAGTAGTTTTTCCATCATTTGCAATAGAGCCAAAGATTCACCATTTTTTTACTTGAAAATATGATAAAATAAAGCAAAATGACTCACTAAACTGATTATGTTTTTTTGTTATGAAACAACGGTCAGTCCATGCAATTTTGTCACTATGAATCATCCGGAAACAATCTCTATGTGCTTTAGTACAAGAGTAAAACTTCGTACATCCAACCACTCCTACCCTATCGTATGTAGGAGCCTTTGCGGCACTGGGGTAATGATAATAATGAATGGTACTGATGATGAGTAGTTATACCTACTTTAAAAAATGGGGGATGGGGTAGGAAGCATATTCCCCTTGTTCATGAAGAATTTTTAGATGAAATCAACACTAAAAGAATAATAAAAAACAAAAAGTTTTTTAATTTATGACATTTTTGTGCCTCATCTGATTAATAGTTTTGATCATTCTGGGCCTAATTGATCATTCATAGTTTCCATCTATCATTACTCATTGGTCGATTGTTAACATATCCTTCAAGTCCTGGATCAATAACCCTCCTTATTAAGGCATATACTGTCTTAAAGTTGTGCCTTTTTTCATTCATTCAATCTCTGTGTATAAAAACCTGAAGGCATAATCTTCCATTTTCTATGGATGAAATGTTTATATTTCTTTCTCGCTATAATACCAAAGAAATGTTTCCGCTACAATGAAGAATTTTATTTCACCGGCATAACAAGAAAAACAACGATCTTCTTTATAGTGTATATTTTTGTACAGAGGATGGAAAACATGCTTTCATTACCTAGTAGTATTGGTGTTGTTACTGTTGCAAGGATGGGTCAGAGTTGATAAAATTTCAGAGAAGTGAGGACGCTTAGAAGGGCAATTGTTCCAGCACTTGGTCATCAACGATCTCAGAATTTGGGGACAGTCCTTGGGGATTTCTGGTCTTAGGCCACAAGCAGCTATCCCTACAGCAGCCTGCACTGGTGAAAAAGAGGAATATGCTTCCTCCCCCGTCACTAATTCCCATAATATCATCCCAAAACTATATACATTGCTCATCCATGTTTCTGTAACATTTTCAGGGTCACCTGCAATGATCTGCTTCATATGAAAAAATATTGTTATTATTATTATTTTGAGATAATATGAACAATATTAATGTTGAAATTACTGAAGTTGAAATTGCTAAAAGTCTGTTTAGCAACATTGAATATGTTGAAATTACTGAAGTTGTGGCTGGATTAATTATGAATACAAGTTTAACTTAGTTACTTAGGAAATTCAGCAAAAATATCCCTCACATATTTTGAGTAAAAAAGTTAAAATCTTGGTGTTTGGAAAACGGGTACAAATACAACAACAAAAAGGAACATGTGGGGCACCTAAAGAATGATCTTTTTATTTACAATTATTAGGACAATGACACCACAAGATGGAAGTGATTGCCAGGTATAACTGCAGCTATGGTGAAGAAACCTATATTGAGAATTTGTCTTTGTAATATTGTACTCCGTAACATACTAGTCATAGTCAGTTAGTCACATAGATCATACACCTCATGTACTCCGGGTATTGTATACTACGTAGTACGCAAAACATCATGATAATTAGTTGCACATGCTACGGTTACATAATGATAGACATCATAAAATTTCATTCTAAAGATGACGTCATATAGTGTATAACACAAACACCATGATAATTACTTGCACATGCTATGCTTACATAATGATAGCACATCATAAAATTTTATTCTAAAGATGAACTAAGAGATGGCACTTCTGTCATATTCTTAAACATAAATGTGTAACAAGCCAAAGAAGAGGCCATAATGTGTTGTATATTTTCATACTAATATCATTACATCTTCCTCTCAGGAGTTGATGGGAAGGAATATAGTTATACTTTCAGTCAAAAGTACAAAAGAGTTAAAGAGATGGATATCTAAACTACAATAAAAACATAGAAATCCAAAATTAGTCCACACTGGAGAGCAAGACAAAGGTTTATTTAAGAAAAACTGTAGGTATAATATGAATTTCTAATGCAAATTTATTTAATGCATATTTCTTATGCAAAATTGCAGGAGGTCTTGCATAATCCTGTGAACAGACGCTGTCTTTGGATTAACTAACAAATACTCCGTATTATTTAGTTGAGATTATGTAGTAAGGTCTCGCATAATCCTGTAAACAGAATGACTTCATATGATGAAAAACATAAACACACATAAGATGTTTCAGCAAGCAAATTAAAACAAGACAGTTGTTTTGGTTTTTAGTTTTGACAAATTGGCACCAGGAAAATTTGAAATATGTATGTGTATTGGGAATCTGGGAAACACTCTGGCAAGAAAATAGGGAGGAAACTAAAGAACTAAATTTGGATGAAAGAAAATTTGGAGGAAATGAAAGAAATTATTTTAGATATTTGTTACTTCAATTCTTCGAACTCATTTTATATATTTATTTAAACTACTCTGTATTATAGAGTGACTAAACACTAAAAAATCCAAGCGTACGTTAAAAAAATCCTTTTGAATTTTCCAAGTTAAAGTTAAACATAAGAAAGTAGCTATCTTTAGCTCTTACTTTCTTTTTTACATAGTTCACTAATACAAAGAAAAAATCACAAATACAAAATAGAAAGTTGCAGGGTGAACAAACCTCAGGAGCTAGCCACCTATAGCCATCAGTTTCATAATCCATAGCCTCACCAGTGTTATTGCAAGCAGCCACTATTCCCATGTCGCCAAGGCAAGCATTCCCAGATTTGTCTAACATGATCTTCTGTGTATTTAGGTCTCTATAGGGAACTCCATGATCATTCATGAATGCAAGTCCCTCAGCCACATCACATGCAATCTTCATAATCTCTTTAGTCTGCAGCTTTCTGTTCTTTAAGAGAAAGTCATGAATAGACCCACCTTCCATTAGCTTAGTGACAACACACAATCCATGATTATCATCAATGCAAACCCCATGAAAATGCAATATACTCTTATGTTCACAAGTCATCAACTCCAGCAAATCTCCTTTAAGCTCAAACTCATATGAGTTCCCCTTTTCACACCCTTTGAGCTTCTCAATCCCGACTTTTTTCCCCTTGTATATACCTTTGAAGGTATAAAGTCCTATTTGCTCAGTAAATTCAAGCATATCTGAGCTTAACAACCACTTCTCAATCTCATCCCCACCAGATTGCACAGTCTGCCATTCATCTACTGAAACTATGAATGAAGAACTGTGTAAAGGCATTTGCAGCACAGCATTCGGGCTCGAATTGTGGGCCCCAGTTCTGCCATCATCTTCAATATCCCCAAACTCTCTCCCAGGAGTGTTCTGTTCTTGGCACCCACAGAGCCCGAAAGGGAGCATCATGGTTTTTGGCTTCTTGAAAGCCAACTTAAGAGCATTTTCTATCCTGGTTCTGAAAATCATCTCCTCAGCAGATTGCTGAACCAGAAGAAAAACAACCCCTAATGTGAGCCCTTTCTTCTCGAAGATCTGTATCTTTTTACATGAAATCGAGGCACTGTCAAGAGCCCAAGACATCGCTGGCCAAGAAATAGAAGATTTACAAGCAAAGGTGAGCTTAAATACTGAACAGGGAACACCTTCGTCTTCTGATGCCTCTTGTATCAATATTGCTGGGTGGTCCTCCGTTGATGCTTGTTCTATCAATTTGATGTGTAGAAATACATCCTTCATTTCAAACTCAGCTTGGGCATAACTACAAGCACAAATGGGGAAACCCCCACCTAAGACCTGAGTCGTCGGATTTTGAAATTAAAAGAAGAAAAAGAGAAATAAATCTACAGCACGGTAAACCTGAGAGGTAGTGAATCGTAATGCTTGCGGATGTTGGAAACGAGCTTCTCAGGAAGTTGACTACCGGGGTAGAGTTGAGTCAGGCTCCGTACAACGCCGGCCCAGAAGTGCTTCCGGCAGCTTTCATTGCGGCCGGTGGGAGACGAGGAGGTCGATTCACGAACAGAGTCGAGGTTAAACGAGTTCTTCAGTGAGGCAATGGCTTCAGAAACGTTCCTCGACAGCTTCTGAAAACGTTTCTGCATCGCTGAAGACTCTTTGAGACCTCCAGCGCCTCCGCCGCAATTGTCGGCCAATGAAGAGGAAGCGTGTTCATGTGTACCTTCCGATCTGTCATTGGTTCTCATGAGAACTTGCTCCACCATATCCTCGTCTGTACCGGCTCGGCTGGACCAGCATTCCAGTGCTGCTGCCATGGCTCTGCCTTAGGTTAGCTCGAGAGAGTAGGTGTGGTAAGCGTGTAGCCCTCTAGGAGTACACTGAAATTTCAGAGCGTACCATTTTTGAGTCTGCTTCCTTTGGCGTCTGACGGGAGGAATCAGAAGCACAGAAAGGCTGTGTCGCTGTGATGAAAACAGACTCCCTTGGCTTTGCCAAGTTTGGAATTTTTTTTTGAGAGGACGCCAAGTTTGGATTAAGCCAGGAACAAGAAAATTAATTATTATGTGATTAATTAAAACCATAAATTAGTTGTTTTAATTAAAAAATGGTAAATTTTTTAAAACAATGGAAAAGGAAAGTTGATAGAGTCCATTGAGAGAGAGGGAGTATGGACCATGGAGTATAGAAATTGTAAAAATACTCTTTACACACTCGACACTCGTGCTTTCACCGTAGTTTACAGGTTGTGTTTTTATGTGCGAACAAAAAAATAGTTTTCATTTTAATAAAGGGAAATTTTTGTGAAAATACCTTTTAGCTCAAGGTGGTCGATCCTAGCGTAGACTAGGGTTAGTTTGGTGGGCGGCGCTGTGACTCTTTCACGGCGATCTTGTCCCGGAGTTTTTATTCGTGGAATAAGCTTGTGTGGAAAAGCAGGGCGGTGAAGTTTTAGAGGTCTGGTGATGCGGAGAACACTGTCAGGTGAGCAGCTTCACAACAGAGGTCCGATCTTCTGGCAGTGCACTCCCACTGCAGAGGTGCGGCCTGGAATTCCGATTGCAGAGGCTAGACTGGTGATTTGCGATTTCGCTTGCGGTCAGAGTGATTTCGTGATTAGGAAGTCTTTCTGCGCAGTGCTTCAGGACGGTTGACTGAGGGATGATGTTTGTGCGATTCAACGAAGCAACAATGTTGAGGTTTGATTTCCCGTTGTTTGTTTTGGCAATTTTGGGTCTATTGATGTCTGAGATGGAAGTGGTACCAATGATCCGGTGAAATGGGCGACTCGATGGGTGGCAATCTACGGTGGTTTGACGGCCGTAAAGGGCAGACTTATGAGGTGGAATGGAGAACTCCGATACAAGTGTGGAAGGAATAGCAAGAAGTGATGTTGATTCGCCCCCCTCCTGAACCACCGCCACAAAAGAATTGTGGGTTTAGGAGTTGGAAGAAGAAGCTTGAAGGATGGATTCAACTGGTCCAACACTCAAAGATTATTTACTTATGCTATTTGCTGATTTCTATTTCTTATTTTGTTGTTATTTTGTTAAACAATAATGGCGGTAGGTGCGTTATTTGGTTTATTCTAGTTACTAGGTTTTTGTTTGGAGGCAATTAGACTGACTCAGTTGCTAATAGCCTCGAAGCTCTCACATGTTCAGCGTTTAGTCTCGCTCCTTTTGAGGTGGACTACTCTATGTCCAATCAAGGCGTGAGGGGGCCGGTGGGCTTATGTTGCGGTTTCTCAAAGCCCGAGCAAAAAGTGTTACTTTTTTAGGACAATTGCTACGGTTGCAATTGACCCGCCGCAATTACTTAAAATTATTGAGTTATTGTTGCGGTTATGCTCATGACCGCATCAAAAGGGGTGCAACAAATGATAAAAAATCTAGTAATGATGGTTAATATCGGTTAGAATGAGATTAGGGCTTTTTGGTTGTTGCTCGATTGTATTGTTTTCTCGATTATACCAGTTTCCTTTCAAAAAAAGGGAAATGTTTGTGAACCGAAAAGGACAAACAAAAGACAAACAATTCACTTTTTCAAGATCAGGGATAACTGTCTTTACAAATAAGAAAAACAAATATTTGTGCACAGAAAAAAGTGTCATGTAAGCTAGCGTATAAACCCACGTGAACATGTAGTATGATTGGATGAAATTACTCAAGAAATAACATTGCGTGAAGTCAATTAGGGAGCCCATTTGTTAATCTACGTTTTTTATTCCTATAAGTCTTTTTTCTTTACCAAATACATAACTTTTCATTTCATGCGTTAAATTGTATATATTGACCAAATAAGTTGATGGAGTATATGGCCCAAGAACCCCGGCCCATAGACTCCTACTTCTCCCACGAAGGCCCATTAAGCCCAAGGTGCATCCGAGGCCCAAATACAGCGGCCCAAGTCTCAAGGAAGCCCAAAATACACACCGGGTGCCTTCGGCCACCTTGGCCGAAGGCTCCGAAACTCACAGCACAACCCTTTTTGGCATACGGAGCTACTGGGAGAAAATGGCAGAAAAGGAGCCTTCGGCATTATCGAGCCCTCGGTATCAGAGGAGCCTTCGGCTGAACCAAGCCTTCGGCCACACGTAGCCTTCGGCTACGCAGGGGTCCTCGATCACGTAGAGCCCTCGACTACACAAGAGGCCTTCGTCCAAACATGCTCAATCATCGAAGATTCCCTTTGGAGACAGCTAACCACCGCATTTAATGCGACGTCACATCCACCCACCGCATTCAATGCGGTGAACATGCCACTGCCGGTGCCACCCCGATTGATGTGGTCCCTCGGCCGTTGGATTACCGACACATGTACTCTCATCACATTTATTGCTGCTATAAATAGCAGCCCATTTCTCCTTGTAAACCACGCTGAGTTCATTTTAATAAACCGACTCTCTCTCCTCCTATTTTGCTCTGACTTCTCTCTAGTTATTCCCGCAATAACCCCTCGGATAAGATACCTCCGGGTAGACTGTCCATAAGTAAATTGTGCTACGTAGTTAACTTTACGACCATTGAAGTTATTTTTCCATATCACGCTTTCCTTAAATTTATCAATAGGCATATACGGAGTACTTGTATTAAAAATAATTGGTGACATCATTCTACTTCAGCGTGATGCACCGACCATATCTCTAGCCATGCGGCCCATGCTTCCTTCAAAGGACGTTTATCACTCTATGACAAGTTATTATTTCGGGCTTGACGGCTTGTGACCCAAACTTTTGTATTTTAACTCAGAATTGAGGAAAGGAATCACAATTATTGCTTGAAGTGTTATTTTGCTAAAATTAATACACAACTTTCTCATTCTAAAAATGTTTCAACATTTCTATAGCTTTTCTACTACCCCGGTTCCATAATTCACTACTTTTATTTCAGAATATCATGTTGTTTTTCTCCTATTTAGGACAATTTTTATAATTGATAATAATAACAATAATAATTTGACGGAGATAACCCTAAGGGTGCCGCCGGCCCTGGACGAAGATCGGTCGATCGAAGTGCGACACAGAAGAAGCTGGAACTGTGAGGAGACCAACGAGGTCTCAAACAGGGATGCTATGAATAAGAGCAAGGACTTGAGGTTGATAGCATCGTAGCAGCAGCAGGGCGTGTGCATGGGAAGGTTGACGAATTCCACATGTCATCATAATCTCAGTCCGGTTTTCTTCCCGGTATATCTGGTGATTTGTGTTGTCCTCGGTTGTAAGGTAGGTGTTTCTGTCCCCGCTAGCTTTAGCTTGTCGGGTGTGGTTCGATTATGTTTCATCGATTACAGGTTACAAGTTATCATAATTTGCTTCCGAAGAAGTAGAAAGGTGGCACAATTATTTTAAGATGGAGGCTGGAGTGTTATTTTTTAGTTAATTTGGTTATGTTAGCTGGATGTTTAGAATTGTCTAACTTTGATAAGTTGTTGATGTTGTAATTTTAGAATACTTTTTATGACAATTTGATCGATTTAATATGAATCTTTATGTTTAATATTTTATTATGAGATAATACAATATTATTATGGATCGATTTATTAATATGAATAAGTTTTTATGATTATGAGATAATATAGTATAAATGTATAATCATGAATGAACGTTGTATGATGTGCGTGCATCGTATATATATGTGTATATATTAATGTATCATACGCTTTTATGATACCATGGTGTCAAAAAGTTCTATGATACTACACTGTCATTAATGTATGTGATAGTTTATTGTCGCTAAGCTTTATAATATAAAAGTGTCATTATTTAGTGACACTTTCTCTGTGACACTAAATTTAGTGTCACAATTTCCGACCTTCTATGACATTTATCCAGTGTCAGTAAAACTTTCACTCAGAGCCGTCTCTAGGAGTTTTGGTACGGTGCCCCAGACAAAGAATGATTAACGAGATCAAATAGCACATAAAATGAATAACGCAATTAAATATGAAGTAATTAAAATTAAAAAAATCATAACACCATTTTTACTAAATATAAAAGGTAATACTTGACTTAAAATTGATACTACATCCGTCCCGGAAACAAGTCCTTGTGTTGACTTTCACACATTATAAGGAAGTAAAGTTACTGAGGGGTAATTTTACTGTTTTGACACTGTTTGGCACTGTTTAACATTGTTTTGCAATGTTTTGATGTATATTAATTGCCAAATAAGGAAGTGAGAAGTTTATTTTGAGACATCCAAATAAGGAAAGTGAGAACTTGTTTCCGGGACGCAGGGAGTATAAAGTATGTGAAAATATCTTAAAAACATGTAGTTTTCTGCTTGCCGATGTCTTGGAAGTGGCAAACGGAGGCGCGATCGATATTCGCGCGTTGCTCGTTCGCTGAATTCTTAGATTCCGATGATTTCTGATGCTCGCCGAGTCACTGCTAGTTGGGAACTTGGGATTACGATGGTTGCCTTCTAGGCAAAGTCCGTATTGTAGAATCCAAACTCACTATTGTAGATTGTACGGAGTATTATATAGATTGTATACTATCGTATTATATAGATCGTATACGTGGTTGCCTTTTAGTTGTAAAATCCAAACTCCCTATAGTAGTTTAATATTATATTTTATTATTATATTTTATTATTGTGTGTTAATATCAGATGAGCATGAGCTAATATCAGATGAGCATCATCTCTTGAATTTTTTTATACTCATTTTGTAAGCTACGTGTGCTCATCTCATATTGGTTTTATACTTATTTTAAAATGTTATATCAATGTATATTTTGAAAATATCATTTTACATTGAATTTATGCGGAAATTGATTATAGATAGAGAAGCACATACCATGATACTCATTGCATGTTCTAATACTCAATAGGGGATGTTTGATGCTCAATGAAAATTATTTGATGCTCAACTAGAAAAACTTATGATTTTTATATTATGGCTCATTTTGAAAGTTATGTATGCTCAATTGGTACTCATGCTATGCTCATTTTAAAATTGTCATATCAATGCATATTGCATAAGTGCAATATTACTTTAGATTCACATATTGAAGTTATGCTCATAGAAA